TTATTATTATTATTATTATTGTTGCTATTATTATTGTTTTTATCATTATTATTATTACTATCAGTTTGCTTTTTTTAGTATTTTTCTGTCTTCTTCTACCTGGTTTTTCCATCGCAACATCTTTTACCAATCAAATGTACATTGTTGAATTTCCTCTTTAATTTTCAACCCGTTTTCTCCATTCCACCCTTCTCCTTCCTTCCTTTCTTCCTTCCTTCTTAACTTTCGCTCATCCCGGCGCTAATTGATTGCTTGCTTAGATGCTCCGCTTTTTTACGTATCATCGCCCTCCTTCCGTCTTCTCATCCATCTCACTAAACGGATTGCTGTCTTCATTTAAATTCTCTACTTTTTTTTTTCTTTTATTTTGATGATGTGTTACATTGTACTGTATTTCTAGGATCTCATTATACGCATTTTTCTGTTGTACATTGTATTCCAATTTTTTCGTGCTTTTTTTCAAAACAATTTGTTTGTTCACTTTTCTTACTGAAATAAAAAAAAATTCTTTTTGACTGTTACTTATCTGAAACAGCAACAGCGGAAACACAATATTAAACACGTGACATTATGTATCTCCCCCGTGTATTTTTTTATCTCTTCCATTCCTAAAATAATCAACCTTGAACAGCGAAATTGTCAATGATTGTAGGTTCAAAATGCCAATAAATCTATAACATTTAAAACATTTTGAGCTTTGAACTAAAACCACCGATAATGACTGAGAGAAAATTGCATTGGTTAACTATGTCAGGTGCAAATAATTTATAACTTATCAATCTGATGACCGTTAGCGGATTGCTGGAGACAACAATTGTCAATTACCAGATTAAAGTTTTCTATTTTATCAGTGAGCGTTATCTGCTGGCAACTTAAAGTTTCCAGCAGTTTCACTGCACCTTGTGTGAACAATTTTCAACTTTTGAGTATGCACATTTTTTCTATAGATTACAAGACAAAAAAAAATAAGGATATTTCACTGGTAAAACAATCTACCACCAGTAAACACGATATTTCAAGAGAATATTCATAACTGCAATGAAAGCCTCCCGTAAACCTTGTAACTGATATGTTTTCCTTGACTGAACATTCTGTATAGGTCAGTCTTAAGCCTCATAATTTGATCTTTTCCAGCGCACAAAATACGTACCACTTCCTGGTAGTTCACAGACTTGAAAAGGCAAAAGTAAATGTCTTGCAAAGTTTCATAAACTAGGCATCTGTGTTTGCAGAATAGCGGTCTTTTTGTACTTCCGGCCAGTCCAAATAAAGTTTTATGTGATTAATTCTGCAATCAGTAAATAAACATCATTTACTTTAATGTTATTATTCACAGCCAGTTTCACCTGTACCACATTAATAAATCGAGTAAATCGAATGTGTAAGACACGTCAACAACATTTTTTCAAAGAAACATTACAAAAATGACAAAAAAAAAAGAAAAAAAAATACATTCATATCAATTATTCAATGATTTTAAAAAATTAAATTATAAAAACCGAGGAGAAACCCACTGCTATGACACAGCGCAATCCTAATTTTTTATCTTAAATTTGAGAGAAAAAAAGAAAACAAATTAATATGGCAGTTTTAAAAAATTTTTTTCAATTCCAGATAAGGGGAACACCGGACATCACTAATGCAGACAGTTGAGCGTTAAATCATCACTCAAGTCAAATTACACAGTCAAAACAAACATTGTTCGAGAAAAAATTTGATCAGAAATCATTTAAGATCTTTTTGATAAGACCCAGTGAAAAAACACACGCATTTAACAAGCAGAAAAACGTTTAAAAAGCCAACATAAAAAGAAAAAAAAAAGAAAGAAAGAAGAACAGAGATCAACAAAGCAATGAGACAACTACAGATTCAAAAGAAAAAAAGAAAAAAAAAAAACAACTCAGACAAATTTTTCATTGAATTATCAGAAAAATCAACGAAGAATTATTTGCTGAAATAAAAATCAAGCACTGAAATCGTTCTAAATGTCCAATTCCCTTTTAAAACCTTTTTCCTTTTTTTTTTTTTTAATTTTTTAATCTTCGTTTCAAATACTAACTTTATATTTGGTTAAAACTGAATATGTACAGATGTTATGTCCCTAGAAACAGAATAAGTGCATAAATTTACAAAAAAAAACCTTTTAACAAGAAATGAAACGCACTAATGTAAACTGAAATATATATTAATTTTAAAAAATGATAATAATACCCAAAATTAAAAAAGAGTCATTTGATCGTAGGTATAAAAAAGCTAAAAAAAAAGTTCAGAATCTGCAGTGCAAAATAATTTCAAAGAAACCTTCATTAAATAAATCCCAACTATTACACATGCCTTAGCGTTTCTTGTGGAATAGCGACGATGAACCGGTGGCGCGTAGTTTCCTTTTTCGTTTTAAATGTAACGTATGTGTACAAAATACTTCCCATAACACTAACATTAATACCAACGAAATTCGTTATTGAAAATATGTAGTCTCCCGACGAAAACATTCCCACATAAGTTACGAAAAGGTTCTGAAAAACTATAGTTTGAATGAGACAAAAGAATGAATAAATCTGTCAATGTACTTGGCATTCATTTGCTTGTTAAGTTTTCAAAAGGCACACATGCCAGCACACGTTCAACTTGTTACAGGCAAAGGAAATAGGTTACTGAGCACAACAAAAGAACAAAATCCCAAAATAAGATTTCGTACTTTAATAGGACCAACACAAGTGGTCGTCAACGCGCTATTGTAATTAGTGCATAGCACAATGGAATAGTTCAGTAAGAATCCACAAATACATGACAAAAAGAAACAAATCGCTACACCAATAGACATCCGATCAGAGTAAATAAATTCATTAACCTGTAATAAACATTTTAAGAAGAAGAGACATCTAAATATAAAAAATTAGTAGCTTTTTTCGTGACAGCTAAACTTACTTTCGAGGCATCTCCCAAACCAATAGCAAGAACTATAGCAGGAAAAATCATAAACAAAACATTGTAATACAAAAGACCATACTTTCCTAAATCCTGTAATTTTTCATCCATTATTAGAGTACGAATAATACATGTAAGAAATTGCCCTTGCAATCAAAAAAAAAAACCTTTGCATCCAATTTTTTCTTTATGTACACTCCATTTGCAGCTGTACAAAGATCGTTTATAAGAATTAAAGTGTAACCATAGGCATCAAAAGCTAAGTCATACCTAAAAAAGCCTTATTCACAAACCAGAATGAAATAATTCTCGTCAAGAGAATGAGCTGAAAACAGCAACTGATGAACCTCTATTATCGAACTAAAAAATTCAAATAGTAACTCACAAAGCTGCTATTATAGACCCGAGTATCATCAAGCCAACTGAAAACTTCACAGCATACGATGCTTTTACTCTAAAAATACAGCGCTTCCATTATAGTAATTCCTAACTAAAATTGCTCAAAAATATTAATAAACCTATACTTGTTTTACAAGAAAGTTTCAAAAACTCACCCAAGAACTATATATTCTAATATCATCGTCATCAGAATGGAGAACCTTCGAAGAACAGTAAACATTGGAATGCTAAAATCAATTAATATTTATTGAAAATAGAATAAGAGAAAAGAATCACGGTTTATTTTACTTCGTTATCACTTAGACAATCTTTTTTCTGCAAAACAACAGAAATTTAATTTTAGCATTCCTGTATCCAAGAAATTTTGTAGAAAAGCTAAACATTTAACAGTCAACAAGGTTCTTACTTGATTTTTTGCGTTCCACCTAAACCGCTAACCAAATTGAGAAAATAAATCAAAGGAAGTGGAAAGATCTAAAAAAAACAAAAGCATCATCAAATGACTGGTAATTTTATGTTGAAAAATTTATTGCCTATTGGACCAAGCAAAGTAGAGAAAAAATTGATGAAAAACGAAAACTGCAAAAAATAAATAAGAAAAACACTTGCAAAAAGGATATTCAAAAGAAAAACTGCATGTATCAACCAACTTTTCGTGGGATTGACGTATCCAAAGGGGGAAATGAAATAATTTTAAGCTGACGTCCAAAAAAAAGTATTAAAAGACTTGCAATCATCTGACCAACTGCTACGCATAAGAAAGATGGAAATCTGGAAATCTTATCCTCACCATACTACAGGTTTAGCACCAACAACGTCAGAAAGCAATAGTAAAAAAGTAATAAAGCAGAGACTTCAATAATAAGCTCAATGATGAAGAACATTAAGCAAAAAGATTTCTAAATAAAACAGCAAAAAAGTACCTGTAATTAGTAAGCAGAATTTTGTTAACAAAAACTGTCATTGCAGAGCATCCACCAAAAGCTAAGGCTGAGCCAACCCGATACAGCAGTGGTGACTCAGCCATCTGTAAAATTAAAATTTTGCAAAAAAAAAAAAAAATTTGTGCATTAAGATAATTAAAACTTTTTGATGTAAGCAGTTGACATTATGGCGCTTACAGCAATAAAATTTACTGTTCAGTTGTTAATTAATTAATAATGCGTGACATTTAACAAATAACAATAAAAATTAAAGTGATGAGACAAAGAAAAGTAAATGTGCAAAAGAAAAGTGAAAAAATTAATCAAGAAGAAAAAAAAAAACAGCAAACTAGCAATGTCTAAACTGTTAACAGAAAAAAAAACTCGTTATATTCTATGACTTTAAAATAAAAAATTTCTTTATGCTTTTTTTTAAACACTTTTCTACGTCGAAATAAAAGTGAATAAGTACAGTAAAAAGAATCTCCACAAAACTGTTTGAACAACAACTTAATAGTGGAAGATGAAGTCCATATGAATACGCAACTACATCAGTATATCAATATTTATATATACGCTGTTACCAATGACAAAAAAACACCTCATAAAACAGAACCGATAACAGACGAAACACTAACACGTTGCAAATCTCATTTTTCTTCTCCCCTCTATTCTCCACTCTTTTTTTTTTTTATTTTTCAATTTGTAAACAAATCCGTTTAAAGAAAAAAAACCTCAAAACTATTGTTTATTGACATATCAACGAATCAGTTCATAACTATCGTAAATATTTACAAAAACAGCAATAAAAGACTAAAGAAAGAAAAATAAAAGATGTATCTATTAATGGTAGTTCGATGAAGCAAAAAAAGAATAAAGTTTTTGCACCTACGTTCAATATTGCCGCAATAATCGAATGAGTGACCTTCTGCGCAATTCCACGCAGTTTTTTTTGATGATTATCGACCCCTTCAGATTCGCCTAGAAAACAACAATTTAAAAGTATTTATTGACACCGCTTAGTGTTCGTCAATTAAGCAGGTTAGTTCAATGTTTTAATGGCAATAACATTTAGAACAAGTAAACAGATTGGCAACAAGAAGGACCGAGAGAAAGAAAAAGAAAAGCGGTAGCCGCTTCTATTTTTTTTTCAACCACTAAACGTCCAAACATTTCTATACTCCATTTTCTCCCCATATTATTCCTTTAGCACTTATTTATTATTTTTTACATTAATTTTTTTAAATGTTAATATACCATACACAAAAAAACATAGCTATTTGTATCTGTAAATACAGATATGTTTATGGAAATCCTTTCCAAGCATTTTTTGCCTAATCTTTTTTCTTTTTTTTGTATGTTGCACAACCTTTATCTATCGTCCTCACCATTCTGAATTTGTGGCAGAGAACTAGTCCCCAAACTTTTGCCAACAATACTTAGCATCAACATCAACACCATTCGTACAGTTGCATTAATAGGCGAGAAGAACCAATTAGGTTCACGTTGGATTTCGGCCATGGTGATCAGCAACACCAACTACAGCACCAGCAGCAACAACAACAACAGAAACGACCACGACTTAATCAGCCAAGCGAAGAACTATGATCTGCACCCATACCTTCAGACAGTCTCAGAAAACTAATAGCAAGCCAGAAGCCAGTTCAACCGGAATACCAAATTCATGAACCATCAACAGGACGATGTAACAAACACCTGATTACACTCTAATTTCTGTTTGGTTCCGGGAATTCTGGAAAGCAAATGTCAATGGACACTGAAGACTGACTGTCTGCCGACAGAAAACGGCAATTTACAATTAAAAGACACCAATTAAAATAGTAATTAAAAGTTCTAAAACTATTCTGTTTAAAATATAAGAAAAACAAATAAAAAATTAGCTAACTGTAACCTATAAGCGACGATTTTGCGACATACAAAACGCAGTTTACTGTATTTCTAATATAAAGCATACTGCAAAAAAAAAAAAAAAAAAATACCCCTTCACCTTTACCTGTTTCAAATAATATTTCAAAAAATTATTTAGTTTCAAAAAAAAAAAAAAACACCAAACCAAAAATTTTTGAAAAAGTAAAATAGAAAGAAATATTTGTACTGCGCTTTACTGAAACATTGTACATGAAACACCTGTGTAAATACAATCTTTTTCAAATTTTACAGAAAGAATAGCTCAGCTAAATAGTTTAAAAATGAAAAAAATACATAACTTGTGTTAGCTTCTCAAATAACTTAAAAAATTCAATTTTATTCTGAACTAATTTTTATTTTTAAACGAAAAAAAAAAAAAGGTAAATTCAATGAATTGAACGAATTGGTATTTTTTCGCTTAAATCCCAAACCAATATTCTAAATCCTAAATTACTCAAAAAAGAAAAAATATAGACACAAAAGCACTACGCTTAATTAAATAAATTTGTATTATCGAACTAAGCTTTAAAAAAAAGAAAAAAAAATGGTAGAACCAAACAGAGCAGAATAAAAACAGAAGAAACCAACGCCGACTATGATTGAAATAGCCGGCAAGGGAAACTGATGAACACATGAGACTGAACGGAAGGAAGGAGGAGAGGTAGCAGATGGAGTGGTTGAGAACACTGACAAATGAACGCCTCCAATGACCAAATGCCAATTTCGAACGAAACCATGATGGTGCAAGTGATCACTAGACTGTTTCTTTTGATGTCTCTGATACATGGTTGTCGACCTGACGATGGAACCACTAGTAGCAACAATAGCAAGACAGAAAAAAAAACCTATCCTTTCACAAAGTAAATCATAACAAATGAACAGTTTAAGGCAATTTATAACTGTTCCGTTTCCGACAACCCATCTTCTCCTGCAGTTGTCATTTGTTACTCACTACACATTTCGTTCACACAAATACACACCAGAAATAGACAAACGTATCAAAAAAACACACAAAAGCACTCCAACACGCTCTCTCACATGAAACTAAGGTTATCAAAAACTCCCTTTATCTTTTAATCTTCAACATTTTCTGCCTTCGATCAAAGC